GAGTATATTGTACGTGACCTGCTAAATGTCTTCTAAGATAGTACTTGCTAAGCATTGTCTATAGTAGTCTCCAACTCTTAAAAAGCTTGCTAGGAAACAGTAGTGCTGTTCATTCAGTAGCACAAAAAAGGCTTCAGTACTGATAGGTGTTCAGTGGGCTCTGGACAACAAATAACTTATTTCTGGGAGTGAATAAAAGTAATCAAATGATCCCCTTTTTTGATTACACTAAGGGATTATGTACAAACAGAAAATGGAATTAGTAAAATCACTGCAAAGGTCTGTATGTAAACTGGGCCAGAGTTTAACACAGTCTCATAAAATCTCAAGTGATTTAAATGAAGCTGCTACTCAGCAAACAGGTATGTGCCTGCCAAATCATGTATGAGAGAGGGAACACTTTTTTCACAACCATGAAAGTAATTATAAATGGTAATTCAGGAATACCAACCAGAGATCAAGCTATTCTTACAGATTGCTAGCATGCTACAGTAACAATATCTAGTACTCTGTGTCATAATTTAACTTCAAATGAGTATCTTTCTGAATTTTCAAGGAAAATTTATGTGGAAAGTTTGAATGGGTGCCAGAATTCTGATGCCAGAAAGACAAAGAACAGAAGAAAGGAACAGAAAGAAATATACTTGCATCACTCTTCAAATTAGGATTTTTTTAAATTATTATTAAAAATAATTAGTTTCTTAATTTGTTCTAGTAAAGCTTCCTGCATCTTTAGCCTTCAAAGTCATAGTTTCATAGTTTCATAGTTTCAGGGTCGGAAGGGACCTAATAGATCTTCTAGCCAGCCAGGTAAGTATCCAGCCTCTTCTTAAAGATCCCCAGGGTAGGGGCCAGCACCACCTCCCTTGGAAGTTGGTTCCAGCTCCTAGCCGCCCTAACTGTGAAGTAGTTTTTTCGGATGTCCAATCTGTACCTCCTCTCCATCAACTTGTGCCCATTACTCCTTGTTATGCCAGCGGGGGCTAGGGGAAACAGCGTCTCCCCCAAACCCTTCTGGTTCCCCCTAGTGAGTTTATAGACGGTCACCAGGTCCCCCCTCAGCCTTCTCTTGTGGAGGCTGAATAGGTTCAAGTCCCGCAGTCTCTCACTGTAGGGTCTGCCCTGTTGTCCCCGGATCATGCGGGTGGCCCTCCTCTGGACCCTCTCCATGTTGTCCACATCCCTCCTGAAATGGGGCGCACAGAACTGGACACAATACTCCAGCTGCGGCCTGACCAGCGTCGCATAGAGGGGGAGGATCACCTCCCTGGCTCTACTCGAGATGCACCTGTGGATGCACGACAAGGTCCGGTTAGCCCTGCCAACCATGACCTCGCATTGTCGGCCCATGTTCATCTTGGAGTCAATAATGACACCAAGATCCCTTTCCGCCTCCGTGCTCTCAAGTAGGGAGCTCCCCATCTTATAAGTGTGCTGCTGGTTCCTACTACCCAAGTGCAGCACCCTGCACTTGTCCGTATTGAAACGCATCCTGTTCCTGTCTGCCCACCCCTGTAACCTATCCAGATCCTTCTGCAATCTCTCTCTCCCTGCTAGCGTGCTCACCTCCCCCCAAATTTTGGTGTCATCAGCGAATTTAAACAGGTTGCTCTCCACCCCAACATCAAGATCGCTGATGAAGACATTGAACAGCGCAGGGCCCAGGACCGAGCCCTGAGGGACTCCACTACCCACCTCCCCCCAAGTCGAATATGATCCATCCACCACCACCCTCTGAGTGCGACCCTTCAGCCAATCTGCAATCCATCTGACCGTGTAGGCATCTATGCCACAGTCGCCTAGTTTATTAATTAGGATGGGGTGAGAGACGGTGTCAAAGGCCTTGCTGAAGTCCAGAAAGACTACATCCACCGCGACACCTGCATCCATGGCCTTTGTGACCTGATCATAAAAGGCAATCAGGTTGGTCTGACATGATCTCCCCCTAATAAATCCATGCTGATTGCCCCTGAGCATCATCTCGGATGCCGGCCCATCACAAATGTGCTCCTTGATGATCTTCTCAAAGAGCTTCCCCAGGATTGAGGTAAGACTGACGGGCCTATAATTGCCCGGGTCCTCCCTTTTCCCTTTTTTGAAGATGGGGACCACATTAGCTACCTTCCAATCGTCTGGCACCTGGCCCAAGCACCACGATCGCTCGTAGAGCCGTGCCAGGGGCCCTGCAATAACCCCAGCCAGCTCCCTCAGCACCCTGGGGTGGAGAGCATCCGGACCTGCTGACTTGAACGCGTCCAGCCCCTCCAGAAGCTCTCTAACCCGGTCCTCCCCAACCTGAGGTCTGAAGGCGATCCCCTCGCGTCCGGCTTCTATCACAGCAGGGAAGTCCCGGTCCCTGCACAAGAAGAAGTCAATTTTGTAAGCAAGACCAACCACTTTATCTAGCCTCGTGGTGTTCAATCTTTTGGTTCTTTGGGCAGAGTGAGTGGCTCAGGTTCCAGTCCATGGGCCAGATCTCACACTTGGTATCATCACACAGGTGCAGTCCTGTGTACCAGACCTACTGTGACCAAGTGATCTAGCATGGAGGGCTACAGTATCCAGCTTGTAGGGCTTCCCACAGGTCTGGAAATTTGGCAGCGTGGGAATGGTAAGTAACACTGCCATTGCTCTTCTACCACCAAATTTCAGGACCTGAGGAGAGTCCCATGGGCTTGGAAACACTACTCCATTGGCCAGATTTGGCTCACTGGCTGGAGATTGAGCACCACTGACCTAGCCAATGATTTAAAAAAAATCAATCTTATTATGGAAACTGGCTGCAAATTAAAGCAGGGGCTAGCTACTATTTCTCCGTTTTTTGTCTATGATGTTAATTTCTAACTGTTCTATATCTAGCCAATGAAGATTAAAGCATCATTCAAGTCATCCTATGCCATCTAATATGAACAGCAAATGACTTAGTTTTCTACATATGTAAGGGGATGTGAAGCATATTGCCAATATTCCTGGCAGAGATGATACTTGTTTTCTATCTTGAACATTTAGTTTCACTGAATCATAGAAGACTGAAATAGATTTCAGGAGGCCATCTAGTCCAACACCTGGCTCAAAGCAGGACCATCCCTGACATAAGCCCTATGAAATAAGTGTTGATTTTATCTGCTTTTGAAAATTTCCAAGGATGGAGACGTCACGATCTCTCTACGTAGCCTGTTCTAGTGCATTACCACCCTTATAGTCAGAAAGCTCTTCCTAATCTCCAACCTAAATTTTCCCTCCTGCAATTTGAAACCATTAATCCTATGATGTTCCCTACAGCCACAGAGAACAGTTTATTTCCATCCGCTTTATAACAGACCTTAAGATATTTGATGACTATTGTCAAATCCCCACTAGTCTTCTTTTTCAGATTAAATAATCCTAATTCTTTCAGTTTTCTCATAAATCATGTTTCCCAGGCCTCTAAACATTTTTGTTGGTCTCTTCTAGACTTTTTCTAATATGTCCACATCTTGATATGCAGGATCCAAAATTGGACTCAGGACTCCAGGTGAGGCCTCACCACTGCAGACAAGATTAGAAGAATCATTTCCCTTGTTTTACAAGTGACACTCCTATTAATAGAAACCAGTATGCTTTTGATTTCTTTTTTTGCAACAAGAGTACACTGTTGCCTCATATTCAGCTTTTGGTCTACTGTAACCTCCATGTCCTTCTTTGTAGTACCATAGCCTAGCCAGTCATATCCCAGTCTATATGTAATTATTCTGTCCCAAGTGCAAGACTTTGTAATTGTCCTTTGTGAATTTCACTGGATTGATTTTTGAATGAGTTCTCCAGTTTATCTAGGTCTGGGCTGTCCAACTTCTAAGTGAGCAGGGTGTCTTACATCCTTGGGACCACACTAGTGAGTCATAGGGTCCTGGGTTGTACCCTTCCCCTACTGTGCCGCACGTGCATGGCCCCCAACCCAGCTCCTTCCCTGCACTGTGCCATGGGTTCCCCTGGCACTATGGATTACATTGCACCACCTTACCCTTGGGGCAGGAGCAGGGAGCCAAAGCTGCAGGGGAGCTAGAGTCCCTGGCTGTAGCAGGGAGAGCAATGCAAGGAAGCAGCATGGGAGGAAGCAGCAGCTGCAGTACCAGTGTAGGAGTCTGAGAGCCACACATTAACCCCTCACAGGCTGCACGTGCCCACTGGCTGTCAGTCTGACAGCCCTGATCTAGGTCATTCCAGACCCTATCCCTACCCTCCAGAGTGTCTGCAACTCCACCCAACTTGGCATCATTCCCATTTTGTTAATCTTGCACTCAACCCCATCATCCAAATCATTAATGAAGATGTTGAACAACACCAGACCCAGGAGAGACTCCTGAGGAACTCCACTTTATACTTCTTCCCAGCTAGACATAGAGCCATTGAAGACTACTCATTAAGCACAATAATCCAACCACTTAGAATCCACCTTACAGTACTTTCAGTAGTCTGTATTTGCTTAGCTTATTAATGAGATTGTTGTGAGAGATAATGTCAAAAAGCCTTGCTAAAGTCAAGGTATATCACTACCACTGCTCTTTACCCTCAGGTCGACAGTCTGTCATTTTATCATTGAAGGAAATTGAGTTGAGCAGGCAAGACTTGCTTTGAACGTTACACCCTCCAAAAACTTCTTAAAGAGGAACCCGGAAGTTTTATGTAGAGTAGATACTTAAAATTATTAAAGGGGAACCTATACAATTTTAAAATACACAGATGGTTGGCGAGCTTTTTATTTCTGTTCAGGATACAGAAAAGTGTCTGATATTTAAAAGGTTCACTTAAGTAAAAGCACGTGAACAACTCAAAATCCATTCTGTCAGCTATTGCCACACTAAGCACAAGCAGCTTTGGAGCTGAATAGGCAGTTTATTTGGTTATTGCTCAACAGCTTCCTATGTTCTAGTTTGTCTTATGCAGAGCTCTTGAAGACTCACTCCACCCAGTTGTGGGTTGTTTTTTATTATGTAAAATACTTACTTATCTGGTCTCCTAAAGGAAGAATTGCTTCAATCAGATTAGCAGGTAAGACCTTATTTTTAATAACCTCTGTCTTTGGTGGTGAGCTCATTACATGTTATGTGTTTAAGATGAGGAAATGTGGAGGGGAAATACATATAATTATGTGATTGTTTGAAGCCTTACATGAATTATTCATCTGAAGATATAGAGATGTGCAGTTCTGTTTATAAATGAATTTTTGGCTACTGTGACTAACTTATTCAATGAGAGCTCTTGGCTGCATACGTGTTTTGATGGTTGCTACAGAGAAGTGATTTATTTCAGGGCTTCCTGAAGGCGTAAATAGTGATTGCCAAAAAAAAAAAAAGAATACTAAGCCATTCTGGAGTATAATACTGAAACAGATTCCTTTCTTAACTTTGTAACAGTTAAAGTTAGTCTGTTTTGCAAGTATAGCTTCACTACACATGAGTAAGTTGAAATCTGTCCTGTTGAAGTTGCTTGACAAAAAAAAGGACTGTTTTGCAGGAGAGGTCTTAGAAAAGTCACTAAGTCACTAAACAGGCCTTAGTGTAAAGTAGGGGTTAGCAACCTGGCTGTCTCTTCCGTGGGCATCAGATCCCTGGCTGTTGCTCCAGCCAGCCATGTTTTGTGTAGAAGACTGCTCTTTTGCTTTGCCACTTCAGCCTCTGCTCAGAGAATTTGGAGTGGCTAATTTGGCACCTATTGCCACAGGGGCTCATGGGGCAGGCTTAGTTCAACAGATGCTGCAAAAAGACTGCAATCCCCTCTTTCTGCCTGATCCAGCCCACACTTCACTAATGTCCAGCTAATCCCAGCTACTGCTCCAGCTCCAGCCCTCTGTGCTCTCTGCTTTCTTGCCAGGCTCTCTACTTATGAAAGCTTCTACTATACTGTACATCTCTGATTTGGTTTGTCTATAAATGTGTAAATCTACTCTGCTTTCCTGTATCAGTGCTGCTTTCTATTCCACAAGATCTTCCCTCATGTGATTACTAGAATGTTTACTGAGTCAGACATGTATGTTGTAAGTTAAAATCCTTCTCTCCCTTCCCCCCACAACGTAACTTTGAGATTAAAGCAATGGAGGGCCAACCTTTTTGACTGGTGTGCCACAAAGTGACCTCACACCATTCCCACATGCTACTCCAATCCCCCTCCTCTGCCTGATCCGCTGTTCTGTTTTCTGTTTCCAGTCCTGTCTCCTTGCCTGGTTTGCTGTTTGCTTTCTGCTTCCTGCCTTATTTACTGCTGTGCTGCCCATGCCAGTTATGCCACCTGTGCCAGAAGTTGGCCAACCCTGGTTTAAAGTATTAAAAGAAACAAATTTGGGGTGTAATTATATAGTAGTTTAGTTTTAATGGATTGCACCGCTGAGTTACTTAGATCAGGTATTGGCAACCTTTTACCAATGAGGGCCACCTCTTGTGACCCAGCTAGCACCATGGGCCACCCATCCCTGGCTGCACCCCAGTTGTTCCTGGTTTGTGCATAGAGGCTGATGTCTTACACCTCCCCCTCCCACCCCTCGATGCGGCTGCCTCTGAAAAATATGGCTGGGGACATTTTAGGGGGCTAATTCAGTTAGTAGAGCCCCCAGTTAGCAGAGGCTTCAGGGAAGAAAGCAACACTTTCTGTGGGCTTTAGGCTGCTGACCACTGACTTAGACCAGCATTTGTAAATGAACAGAGTAACATTAAAGTTTTGATTGGAAATTACTGCCCATAGAACATGGGCATCCATTTTTCATCATGCAGTATGTACTTAGAGCAGAATTTTCACTAAAAAATAAATAATTTGTCATGTATAAAGTAAACCCAAGGATTTCTGTATGAAGCTATTTTATGTGGAAGGTATAAAATCTGAAGGTCCACAAATTAATTTCCTTGCAAAAATACTCAGTTATTTCTTTATTTCCTGATTAATGTCTTTAGTGTTAATAAGAACTCTTGGACTGACACAGTAATTCCTTAAGGTTGTGGCTCTGCCTTGAGAAATTGTCCCCCTCAAAATCATTAGATAGTTCTAATCATCTTGCCTAAGGCCTTCAGGATACTCCTTAATTCCATCTCCATCTCAGTGTCCTCATTCAGCTCACTACACCCTGATCAGATTTTTCTGACTTCTCTCTCCCCTGCACTCCCACCCAGAGGTCTGACTTTGTGGCTCCTTTCACATTATGGCATAGAACTAAGACATTTTTGTATGCCAAATACTCATCCTCACAGAACTTTGAATGACCCCAATGCTCATTTTTTTTATCCCTTTGTAGAACTTATAACAACCCTCCTAGTCTACCCAAACAGCAATAGCGATTGATTGTCATCATTGTTAAATCTTTGGCTAGGGACAGATAAACCAGTTTAAGTGATTTGAAACTGGTTTAAACCTGTAACAGAACAGAAGTTCAGTGCACATAAACCAGTTTCAAAATGGCTGAAACTGGTTTAAGATAAATCTGGTTGAATGTAGTATCAGACTTAACCAGTTTGTGAAACTTCTGTCCCAGACCCCTTCCTGGTTCAAGTTAAATCAGAGTTCTCCCGCATCCCAGGATGCTTTGCAGCCCTGGATTGGGCTGTACTGTCTGCTTCAGAGAGCAGCACTGGCTGCGCCCCTCTGCTCCCTAGTTAGAGCAGTGAGGGCTGGCTGATAAGGAGATAGGGGTGGGAAGCCTGGCTGGGTACCTCAGCCTACCAGTGGGGGGCAGACCCTACCAGATTTTTGCCTGCTGGAGCAGAGGGGGCAGGGGTGTGGGTCAGTAGGTCCAGGCAGAGGGGAGGGAGGAGGGTTTAAATCCCCTTTCCCACTGGCACAGGACCCCAGCCAGGGTCTGCATGGCAGGAGCACATACTTATACTTATGAAAGGCTTTCTCTTGTCTTTTTGGTTTATAACATTCTATTTTAAGTTAGACTAAGTTGTGTGTGCTCCCAGTGTGTTTTACTCAGCTGTATCTTAGCTTAGGCGAAGATTTTTGGATGTTCTTTGTTATGTGCTTGAGGTTGCAAATTGCTGTGTTCAATACATGCTTGCTTCAGAGAAAGGACTATTTTTGTTCAAGCTTTTATGGATTCACTGCCACTACTGTTTTCAGCCTGGCAGGGGCTGTCTTCCTCCCATACTCAAGCATGAGCAGGGAACAGGGGGGAGGGACAGAAGCCAGGCTGGGGTCTCATGTAGACCATGGTGGGTGATTTAAAGTGCCCTCCTCCTGGCCTCAGCATGCTAGCCCCAGGCTGGGGCCTTGCCACCCACACTCCACTTGAGCAGGGACAGGGGGGGGAAGCCTTGGAGTGTCAGTCCCTTCCCTTTGGCAGTGGCCAGCAGGCTGGGAGGCATGCTCTAGCACTGCACAGCTTCTGGCCTGAGCCACTGTAGGCATGTGGCTACATTTCCTGAATGAAAAGTGAATGTCTGTTCACTTACTTCTCAGTTTAATCTCTACCCCTTAGGCTAACCTGCAAAGACTGAATCAACTCGGCCTTGGGTTTTTTGACTGTCTGTACTTAGGCTTTAGCTGCTGGTGCTGAAACAGCAGCTCTGGCAGTTGCCACAAGAAGTCCCATGGGATGGATCCAAAGGTGGGTCTGTCTGGCCTGCAAGGGACCCTATGGCCTGCAGGGCCAAATGAGCTGATGCCCCTGGTCTAGATGAAAGGCCAATATCAGACCTCTAACCATTTCCTAGCTCGTGGCTTGCTGTCTAGCAACGATTTCAAAAAAGCAATAGCTATATGATACACCTAATTGAACATCATTGGAAAAGCCTGAAAAATACCTCTAAAATTCAATTAATTGATCTTTTAAAAGGCTGACCTAGCCCAGTACTTCTGAGATCTAGAAACTGAGTTCCTTTTATTCCGAGAATATGAAAGGTAGCAATGCAAGCACATTGACCCTGTATTGCAAAGACCACCTTTTGTGGTTAAAAAATGGGGAGTTAAAAGGAGAACTTCCAAAAACGTTATTTAGCTGAGGATGATAGTAAATCAGAGTAAAGGAATTCTGTATTAATCTTCTATGACCCATAAATCTGAACTTAGTATCCAGCTCTAGGCTAGCAGTGTAGTTCACTCATACAGTGTGTGTGTGTGTGGGGGGGGAGGGGGGGAGCAGACTTGGAGCTCCCTGCTGCTGAGTCAGAGAGACATACAGAAATGGATGGAGATAGAAGGGAAAGAAAATAACCATAGGCCTGACCTGTTTGTATCATATAGTACCTGAAATATAATTTGGAAACATGAGGTGGGTAGGCAATCCCATAAATCTGGGGCAGGAGAATGTAAAACATCTCTTGGGGTAGATTCTGCCATTCTGGGTCATATTGGCACATACTATGTTCTGTGCACATCTCACAGCAGTCAGTGATGTAGAAACTTTGATGTAGAAATACTGTATTTTCTCACATACAGCACACAACCTTTTCCAAAATTCAGCTGCTGGAAATTGAGGACAGCCTCCACCTCTCTCCTCTGGGGAGGAGGTTCTTCTCAGCCAGACTGGCTGACCTGCTCCACTGGGCTTTAAACTAAGCTCACCGGGGGATGGGTGCACTATTGCCACTGCTGGCCTGCTGAGCAACCCTTGCAAAGCCAGCAGGTCAAGGGACTTTAGGGAGCCCACCCCTGCCTCGGCCCTGGAATGATGTGTAGGCAAAGCAAGGGCCCCAAAAGGGACACTTGCCTGCCTGTACACAAATGCCAGGAGTTTGGGGAATAAACAGGAGGAACTTGTCTTCCTGCTTAACACAAATAATTATGATGTCATAGGGATAACGGAAACTTGGTGGGACTCCACCCATGACTGGACCATGGGTATAGATGGCTATACCCTATATAGGAGAGATCAAGTGGACAAAAGGGGTGGGGGTGTAGCTCTCTATGCCAAGGAGAGCTACGCATCCCTGCAAGCTGACATTGGCACCCAGGGTGGACGACTGGAGACCCTCTGGGTTATCCGTGGGGACACAGCACAAGGGACACAATGGTGGGAGTCTACTACAGACCTCCCACCCAGAATCAAGAGCTTGACCAGGAGTTTG